GATTCATCATCTCATATTTAATTTCTGGTAACTCTGAAATTGTGAAACAAAATCTATTACTTTTTAACTGTTGTTTCTTTGTTACACTGCCTGCAGTGGCAGATAGCAAGATCTCTGAAAGATGTCTAATTACTATTTATATTTTTCATTTTTATGCAATATGACTAGATACTTCCTTTTTTTGTTTGTTTCTTTGTAGTAGCATCAAGGGGTTGCTCCTTTATTTTTATTTATTCCTGAGCTTTCTAGAATTCATGGAACCATGCTAAGATTTGTAAGTCTTCAAAGGGGCCTTGTCAATTAGAGCCCAAAGTCTGTGTTTCTCTTGCATTCAAATTAGGATGGCAAGAAGTGGACCGTTTCTCCTGTTGACAAGAACATAAATCAGTATACTACTGCAGATATTTCTGGAGGCAGAAATGTTAATTTCTGCATTTTTAACGTATTGTCCTTAAATACTGTCAAGTATTATAGAGAGACCCTGGAGTAAATTGTTAGAGTACATTGATTGAGAAAATTATTTCTATGGGCAAGTGGAGGTGTTAATGATCACTCTACAAGCATTAAGTCCATAAACTAGCTAGCTCACTAACACATACAGAGAAGATGGCATTCAAAAGCTTAAGGGGTTCATGTCCCCCATCCTGGTGTCTTTTCCTACCTGTCACATTCTTGACCACTTCACAGTTAGCCATTTCAGATATATACTGTCCTCTGTTCTTCAATCACTAGCTCCACTGGCTTTCCCCAATTTCCACCCTGCTAATTCCCAACCCTGTATAACCCATACTATCTACCTTTTCCTTTCTTACTTCCAAGTACTCAGAAAAGAAGTCATAAAATTAAGCTGGCTAGATCTTCTACACATTCATGCCACTGGGCCTTCACTGTTGCACAGGAAGCAACCTTTTTATTCATCTCTTATTTATTTCCTATAATATCCCTCTCCTTTAGTGGTTCAAAACCTTCTCTCTTAAGTCTCCCAACTCTATCACTCTTTCACTATCTCTTAGCAGAGGGCTTTGCTCATCCTCCACTTTACTGAGAAAACTGAGATCCTCCAAAATGCCCTCTCTGTTTCCGCCCCCTATATCTTTCAGTCTCCAAGGATGGGGTAGCCTTTTTCTTTGCCAGAGCTAACTCTGCATGTCCAATTTTGCCTTGCTCCTACCCTCTCCCTGGGATTTTGCTCCATTTATCCTTACCTCTCTAAAACCTTAAGTCTTTCTGCCTCTAATGGCTTATGTGGTATATATCAATGTGCACCTGTTTGTTTATGTATCTCTCCCAATAGAATGAATGGCCCTTGAAGATGGGACTGTTTTGTTTTGTTTTGTTTTGTTTTGTTTTTCCTTTCTTTGAATTCCTAGCACTTAGCATATTGTCTGGCACATAATAAGTGCTTAATAAAGGCTTGTTTAGTGAGTGCTTAAAATAATGTTCAGTTCTCTATTCTCTTTAAATACACATATACACATACAACCTTCTCAGTATTCTGACATCCTCTCCATCTCTCATCCACTTACTGCTTCCACTATTCACCTCAGTTGAATGAAAGCTTTTGGAGGACAGGAATTTATTTTTTCTTTTTTCTCTTTCTTTTTTTTTTTTAACCTTTTATCTCCAGCATCCGGCACAATGAATGACATATAGAAAGCACTTAATAAATGCTTGTTAGTTATAGAAGCTTGTTAGGTTAGGACAGAGTGAAGTCAGAAAGACCTGAATTCAAATTTGGCCTCAGACTCTTGCAAGCTGTGTGACCCTGGGCCAATCACTTAATCCTGTTTGCCTTAGTTTCCTCATCTGTAAAAGTATATATGTGTGTGTGTGTGTTTGTATGTATATATATATACACACACACACATATACATACATATATTTTGTATATGTATATATGAATGATAGTAATAGCACCTACCTCCCATAACATACCTTGTTATGAGGATCAAATGTAATAATAATTATAAAGTGATTAGCATAGCACCTGGAATACAGTAAGTACTATATAATTGTTAGCTAGTATTATTGTTATTTAATTGTATGTAAATATTCACCCATGTACCACCCCCATCAACTTCTCACTATCTGGCTTCAGCCTACTGCATTTTATTGACACTATTTTCTCCAAGGAGAACAATAACCTTCTAATTGACACATCATCATATTATAGAATTTAGAGGGGGAAGTAACCTTAGAAATCATGTAATCCAACTCTTTTTTACAGAAGAGGAGGAACTTGAAGCCCAGGCAAGTTTAATGAGGGAAGCTCCCAAAGGTAGTTAAGTAGTACAATCAAAATTCAAACTTGGGATACTCAGCTTAAAGTCCAGTGCTTTCTCTGCTACAGAAGCTGTCTCAGCAATATCTCTTTTCAGCCCTTCTCTTAAGAGTTTGATCTTTCTGCAGCATTGGGTGCCCTTGACCAGACTCTTTCCTAGATATGGTCTCCTCTTTTGGCTTCCATGATAGTATCTCTCCTGATTCTCTCTTTCCCTGACCCCCCTCCCCCCTTTTTGTTCAATCTCCTTTGTTTTTCTTCTTCCCGAGCCCTAGACTCAGACCTCCTCAGGTTCTGTCCTTGACCCTTTCACAATTTCATTCATTCCCATGGCTTCAGTTATCACAATATATACATCAACGACAACAATGGAAATAGAAATCATAACTCCCTCTCCTTCCTCCTACTCTCCAAAAAACTAAATACTGTATAATTATAATGACTAACTTAGCCCTAACGAAGAGCTGAGAAAATGAACCATGCTCCTCTTTGTAGATTTCAGGGACTATTGGTGTGGATTTTGCATACGTTGTTAGAGAGTTGTTGTGTGCTGGTTAGTCTTTTGTTTTGTTTTGTTTTGTTTTCTTGTTAGTCTTGCAGAACTTCCCCTTTTCCCTCTTATTTTTTCATATTCTTCATTATAAATATGCATTCTCTCTCTCTGTTAGACTCTAAGCTTCATCTTGGAGGCACAGAAAGTCTTGGTTTTGTATTTGTATCTGTAATGTGTGTGTGTGTGTGTGTGTGTGTTTGTGTTTTCACTAGCTCAGTCACGTTCAACTCTTTGTGATCCCGTATGGGGTTTTCTTGGCAAAGATGCTGGGGTAGTTTGCCATTTTCTTCTCCAGTGGATTAAGGCAAACAGAGATTAAGTGACTTGCTCAGGGTCACACAGCTAGTTAGTATCTGAGGCTGGATTTGAACTCAGGTCTTCCTCACTCCAGGCCTAGCTCTCTATTTGCTGAGTGACCTTGCTGCCTCCTGTCTTGCACTTACTGAACCTTTAATTCATGCTTTTTAAAATTAATTTTTTCAAAGAGATGGCTTGTTGAGTTGAGAAGATCAATATTCGAAATTAAGTTGTGTAGATGTAAAAGATTTCGATGTAAATGTTAAAGTTTTAAAAAGAAAATTTGAAAAGTGAAACAAAACCCAGTAGTTCTGTTGACAAAATAGAAATTTCCAGGGTATATTGATAGCCATAGCAAGAGTGTCTTTGAAGGCAGTGAGATCACTTAAAAAGATAGGCCAGCATACTTCCACTGGGGAAAATACTGGGGAAATTACATCTCTGGATCTCAGCTGAATAGGGACTTTCAAACTGTACACCAAGCCCTCCTGGACTCTAGGTCTTAAAACTCTATTAATTTGGGAGAGTGTAAGCAATTATCTAACCCTACCTTTGGATTTTACTGTATAGGCTTCATTTTTTGTTTTTTTTTGTACTTAATTATACTTTACTGGAATTAGCTATACTTTGTTGTATTTAGAGCATATATGGCATTTAAGAGAGCTAGGTGGCGCCATAGTGCACAGAGTGCCAGGCCTGAAATCATGAAGACACATCTTCCTGAGTTCAAATTTGGATACAGATACTTAGTAACTATGTGATCCTGGGTAAATTACTTCACCCTATTTATCTCAGTTTCTTTATCTATTAAATGAACTAGAGAAGAAATGGCAAACCACTCAGTATGTTTGCTAAGAAAACCCCAAATGGGGTCATGAAGAGTCTGAAATGAATGAACAACAACATGGTAAAGTAGAAAGAGTACTGGAATTGGAGTTAGGCAAGATCTGGGTCTTGAATTCTGCCTCAGACTCTTAATAGCTGTGTGCCCATGGATAAGTCACCTAATCTGGCAAAGCCTCAGTTTCCTACTCTGTAAAAAAGAATGGGATGACACCTGTAGTACCTCTTCCACATGTTGTTGTGAGAAATAAATAAGAGAATATGTTAAGGTTCAATAGCCCTTAAAAAAAAGATGTCAGCCATTATTACTAGTCTAGATCATATTTGTGTATTGCAGCTAGGAATTTGCCACTTTCTTATTTAATTTTTATTAATTTTTATTTTTTATTTAATTTTTAATTTATGGAATAAAACAAGCATGTCTATGTCATGTTATATTAAAAATAAATGATTGCACATGAAATTGCAAATCGATTATGTACAACTTGCTATTTCTTTTCAATATGTAATAAAATTATCATGTAATTTTCTTTTTTTCTTTTTTTCTTTCTGTCCTCCTTTGCCCTAGGCATGGCTACCATTTGGATACACATGCATACACACACATACATAGTATATATGTATATATATATTATGTAAAATATAAAATCATTCTATATCTACTTCTGTCAGTTTTTTCTCTGGATACAGATAGTGTCTTCCTTCATATGTCCTTTATAGTTAATTTGGGTATTTATAACAATCAAAATAACTTAATTGCTCAAAGGTGTTCTTATAACAATATTGTTGTTACTGTGTACAACATTCTCAAATGAATATGGATGCAAAAATCCTATATAAAATACTAGCTAAAAAATTGTATAAACTTTCAGATTAATATTAAGAACTCTTTTATCTAGTCTGTGTAGCCAGAGTTCATTTTCTGTTTTGTTTTGTTTTACAAAATGCACGACTGTTTTATGAAGTATGAATTTAAATTTGGGTGATATTTTAAGTAATTTAACTTCTTATAATGTCCTCTTCTAGGAACACTGAGCCAAAAGAACTGGGGAAAGAAATATCCAACATGCAACGGTCCCAAACAATCCCCCATTAATATTGATGAAGATCTTTCTCAAGTCAATGTGAATCTTAAGAAACTTAACTTTCAAGGCTGGGATAAAGCATCTTTGGGAGACACATACATTCATAACACTGGAAAAACAGGTAAAATATAGACAACACATGAGCATCTAGTGTACAAAATAAAATAGCTGAAGTTATGACATTATTAATACCATCCAGGAGTGAGCCGTTATTGGAGATAAATAATAATTTCAGCATTTACTCAATGAGGACAGTAATAATGGCTATGAAAAAGAATGCAAACATGATAACGCAATGTATTCAAAAGAATTACTCCATTTTAAATCCATCCATATTTCTTTCCTGGAGCGGTAGTGGCTTTTCTCTTTGTCTTCTTGATCTCACAGTTAATTTGGTGCTTGGAAATGAAAAATAATGATTGACTGGTTATGTGGTTTTGAACAAAGTTAATTACCAGTGTTTCTGTGTTTATGAGATTTTTTTAATACTATGCCTAGGGAGTATTCATAAATTATTTTATGTAAATTATGTTTCATCATTTTAAAGGAGTTAAAAGGCACTACCAACAGAGATGAGGAAAAAGATTTATGATAACCTAACTTTCTGCTGTCGTATCTTTAATGTTTATGGTTCCAGTCTTAAGACCATTTAACAAAATAAATATCTTTAGTATTTTATTCATAGCATCCTACCCATACCTGAGTCAAGTAGTAAGCTTGCTATAGGAGTTGACTGGCATGTGAAATTTGCCACCAGTGACTTCTGGTGGGGGAAAAGTGTTTGTCTGATTTAGAAATATCAACATCTTGTATTATTCAGAAAAGAAAATGATTTATTCAGAGCCTTTTCCCAAAGGGTCAGATAGGGTTCTCTTTCCTGATTGCACCCTCATGTCATTTTAATCTTTCGGATTTATCATTATAACAGCTAAATGGGTTGTAGAGAAAACACAGAGATAGGAGAGAGAGAATAAAATTGTCTGCTGAAGAATGATCATCATTATAACTCATTTAAATTACACTTTTAAGTTTTACGTAGTCCTTTGATGAAGAACTATAGTGTTACTACTTCTACCACTACCAGCACCACCACCATCACTACTACCACTACTACTACTACTACTACTACTACTACTACTACTACTACTACTAC